CTGCAGTTTTTTCTTCCTGTCAGGAGATTTTTCGGTGACAGAACAGTTCTTAACCACCCGCTGATGAAGCGTTTTCTGAAAGGTGTACAGAGACACAGACCTGTGTCTCGTCCACTAGCACCACAGTGGGACCTAATGATGGTCCTGCGCGCTCTGATCAAAGCTCCTTTTGAGCCTTTAGATCAGGTTTTACTTAAATTTCTGTCATTTAAAACAGCCTTGCTGTTAGCTCTGATGTCGGCAAAGAGAGTGAGTAATTATCTGCTCTCTCTGTTACTACCTCATGTCTCAGAATTCAAGCTGATGGCAGTTCAGCTGTACTGCGTTTTAACCCTGCTCTGAAAAGCATCACAAGCTCATTCAGATCGAGAGTGATAATCTTGGATGGGTTTTATCCTCCTCTTCATAATTCTGTGGAGGAAGCAACATCTCACCTCCTCTGTCCTGTGCGCGCGTTTTCGTGTTACGTGGCGCACACAGCCGCACTGCACCACCCTCAGCGTCTGTTCGTGCATTACAGGGTCAGTTCTTCAGGACTCCCTCTATCCACCCAGCGCCTCTCACACTGGTTGTGTGAGGCTATTTCTGAAGCTTACAGTTCATCTGGACTGGACCCTCCAGAGAATCTCAGCGCATTCCACCAGAAGGTTTTCATCCTCCATGGCTCTGCATGGAGGGATGACAGTGGAGAATATTTGTATGGCGACTGCCTGGTCCTCGCCATGTTAAATTATTCGCTTTTATCTATGTGATGTTTCTACTTTCTCCATGACCCATTCTGTTCTCAGGGTTCGGACAAAATGATGATTATTTGTTTCATGGAACCTCACTTTTGAGCTTACACCTGCCTGCATGCAGTCGCAGGGTGAGATATTTATTATCAGTCACAAGTTCATGACTGCTGATTTTATAGTTATTAATTGGTTCATCCTGTGAAGCTGTTGGTCTGCTCTGTTTATCGTTACACTGTTACAGTTTGTATCCTCCGTTGTTCCTATTCACAGCAGCAGGTCTGCTATCTCAGCCTTTTTTCCTCACCAGAGATCTTTTCTCCGGTGCACTACTACACATGGAGCACGCAATTACGCAGCGCGTAATTATGCACACAGAAGGCCGAGTGATTAAATGTTTTTTGTGCAAGCAGGTGCTTCATGTTTGTGTCTGAATGGACCCAGTGAGGCATAGACTACATCCTGCTTCGCCTTTAACCCACTAGCAATAGCCTTAAAGGGTGAAGCCTATACGAAATAGAACGTTGGTTATGTAATGTAACCCCAGATTCTATGAGTATAGGCGCAACCCTTTAAGCTCTGGGCCTCACTGGTTCCTAAATGGCTGAAGAAAAAAAGCTATTTGAGAGCCGAATGCCCGGTCTCACCATAATTTTTACGGACAGGGGGTGGGGCCCACACAGCTGGTGGGCGCGGACTAAAGTTTTCAGTGCTGCGCTGCGCGCGACGGGATAAACCCACTAACAATAGCCTTAAAGGGTGTGCCTATACTCATAGAATCTGAGGTTACAGTACGTAACCAACGTTTTTCATGTTTTACACGTTTTTCTTCAAACTATTCACAAATCACTGACACGGAGGAGTTACAGTCTGTTTATTACACAGCAAGCAGTTGGTTCTCTTACCGCTTTTCCCGGTCCAGAACAGAATCCCATGCATCTGTCCGGTCAGCCCGATGCTGCTGACCCGCTGCAGCTCGTCTCTGGGCAGCTGAGACACACACCGGTTCACAGCGCTGATGATCCGACCTGCGTCCTGCTCTTTAGCCTGGGACACAAACCTGTTCAGGTCACAGATGTGCAGTGAAGTAGCACGGTGTCAGCAGCTCACCTTTATCCCGCTGTTGTCGTTTATTTCGGCATCAGTCGGAAATGACTGACTCGCGGCTACACATCTGGACTCAGCTGACAACAAAACAGCTTTAACCGAAGTGGTTCCCATATCTATTCCCAGGATAAAGTTAGACATGACGGCTGCTCTAAGCTAGCCGTGGGCTTGAGAAGGGGTTCTCTGCAGACCAAAAGTAGGCGTTTCTGGCGAATAGGCGTTTATGGGCGGCGAACACTGATTGGCTAACAGTATTTAATAGGCGTTTGTCGGCGGCGAACACTGATTGGCTGTGGGTAACCCTCAAAGTCACGAGTCATTGATGAGGTAACGTTTCTTTGCGATATTTGACAAAGAAATATGGTTTATTGTACTTATAAAGTATGTTATGTTTTCACTTATGCATTTTATTGAAGTACGTCACGATAGTTTCGACCGTTCTCTCGTTGTTGTCGTAACACACTGAGGTAAAGTGAGCCTCCACTCGGCTCCTTTTCAAAATAAAAGCTGAAAATAAAAGTTCTTAATACTTGAAAAATAAATATTTAAAAGCTGTGTATAACTGAAAAATATGAAAAAATAAATAAATAAAAGTTGTTATTAGCTGAAAAATAAATAAATAAAAGCTGTTAATTATATCTATGTCTTTCTGCCATGTCAGGGACCTCTCTCACTTCAGACTGACTCTAGAAGACCCCAAGATGTTGACCAACAATGTTGACCAACGTCTGATGTTGACTTTCATTACTCAATAATGAGTAATAACTTATTCAATAAAAAGTCTGTAATTTGTCAATAATAGTCAATAATTCATTCAAGAATAGATTATGGGTGTTTGGTATGGCTCAGTGGCTAAAATGGGTTGGATGTTAGAGAAATTACTTAATTTTCAATTACCTGAATGCACAAATTCCTTCATTTATAGTTAAACTTTAGGAAATCAACTTTTTTTTTCTTGTGAAAAAAATATCAAAATTAACTTTAAAATCCAATCCAGGATTAAGTAACAACTAGCAACACCCTAACTGTACTATGTTCTGTGTTTCCAACAGATGCTACGATGACTTCTAAAAATGGATGTCCCAATAAACACAATAAAAAAAATTTCAATGATGCATCAAATGTTGTCTGAGTATGTTTTAAGGTAATAACAAATGTGAAATCTGGAAAACAAAGAGAATTCCTGAATCTGTCTTGTGTGCTTTGATGTGTACATAAGTTTATTGGAGGTCCTGAAACAACTTTTCTGAGAACACAAAGATTTTTATTTTACCTTTGGCCAAGATGTCAGTTTGAAATCAGGCTGCTTACTGCAAAACCAAGAGTTTTTTTAAGACGGTCTTCATTTGTATTGTTTTGTCGACTAAGCTAAATGTAATTTCTAAAATATGGATAAATCTGATCTCATCATGCAGCATGAGCAACTGGGTATAGGTGTGAGGGCCAAAAGTCTGGTTATGTACTGACTCCTAAATGTGCTTGTTTTCTACTGAAACATGGAGTAGGGTTGACCTTTAAATAGTGAGACAGCTGAGGAAGTTAACCAGTAAACAGAAATACCTGCTCCAGGTGCAGAAATCTTACAGAAACTGACAATCACACATCTGTAGTGACTGCAGGTTGAACAAGAAAATGTGAAGTTAAAGGAAACATTCTTTGTCCCAAGGCCAGTTTAAGTATCATTAATATTTTTCTTTCTTTATGAATCGATTGTAACTTTGTTCACATTTTTCAACAACCAAAATGGAATTTGTTTTTTTAATGTTATGGCTAGGTATTAAAAAAAAACCTAACATTTAGCTCTCCCCACTACCCAGTTATGTTGCTCTTATTTTGAAATGTAACCGGAAGTTCTGTGTTAAGAGAGTCGAAAAAAGAAGTTATGGAGACGCCGCGGAAGTATACTGGAGCAATGTCGAACCGAGACGCCGCCAGTGTTGAACCTGAGACGCCGCTAATGTCGAACCGGTTAACACCATAGACATAATGTGCCTGTGGTTAACACAATCTGCCAATAACACCTTGTTTTTAGACATAATGTGTCAGTGGTTACGGCATTTTATCGTTCAGCCTTTTTTTCTATCGTCCAATCAGATGTGGCCGGCCAGACACGCCTATTTTTCTATCGTCCAATAAAATATGGCCGTCCAGACACGCCCATTTTGCTATCGTGTAATCATATGCGGCCGGCTAGACACGCCTATTTTCATATAGTCCAATCAGATATGATCGCCCAGATACGCCCATTTTCTTATAGTCCAATCAGATATGACCGCCCAGATACGCCTTCAGAATTTGGCTGCAGAGATACCTATTTGGTGGGCTTCTTATTTTGAAAGCAAAGTCTACACTGCTGCGTTCATGTGGAAAGGAAAAAAAATGGACAATTAGGTTCTTTTGTGCTGGTGCTAGGTGAAATAAAACTGAAGATTAATGCCTTTTGTACGTGATGGGCGCAAACACAAAATATGCCCATGAGTCATTATATATTAAAAGATTTTGCTTTACAATTCCCTCATTTTTCTTAGTAAATTCATCGTAGTATATCTTAGTGTAGATCCTTATTTACTGTTTCCTTTATATTTTTCTATTTTGGTGTAACTGGGACCCTGTGTACACACTTTGGTTCCACATGTACCCCATGAGATGCTAATGATAATAAAACTGACTTGAACTTGAAGTGATTTTTCACTGTGTCTGTGATAATAATCTTTTATTCACAATTTATTTTCTATCTTTATTTTTCACTTAAAGTCCTGAATTTGTGTTATTTTCCGTGTAATTTATACCCACTTGTTTATTTGTTTCAATCTTATTTTTATTGTGGTTATTTGTATCACACTGCAATTAATTAAAGTTACGTATTAGGAAGTTGATATTTTTGAAACCATGGGGCACTTTACCAGTAGACATGTAGGTTATTTTTCCCTAAATTTGCTTAATTTCTACCTCTTCATACTCAGTTTGTGCATGTGTTTTGTGATTGTTTTGAATTTTATTTTTCTCTCATCGGTCATTTTGCATATTTTTAACATATATATTTTATAAGACACTGACATTTGTGTTATTTCTATATCTTCTAAAATGTTGTATTGTGTACAAACACTTTCCTACTTTTATTTTATGTACTTAAACACACCAAACCTTACCCTCTGTTCACGCTCCTCCTTTTATACCCAGAATGCAGTTGTGTTGGAGCATGGTTGACTTTGGTCTGGGAGAGTCAGCAGTCCAAGAATGAATGCGTCGTTTCTGTGCGCTATCAGCTAACATGTCCTAAAAAACTCTTTGATGACGAGGGATATGAAGTCATTCTTGTCTGTTAACTTGTTGTAATCTCGTCGCGAGGAGCCGATAAAGGTTTTAATCAGGTGAGTACTCTTAGCGGTTAGCTTGATAGCTAGCTGTGTGAGCATTAGCCGTGACTTGAATGTTAAAATAAGGCAGTTGTCATGCTGTCAGGCATCTTCATCAAACTGTTTTAGCTTGGAAGCTGCTGCTCTGTTTGGTTTATCTTACATTTATGTAATATTTTGTAGTTTTTGTGTTTGATAATTTAACAGCTTATTTTTGGCCTAAACTAACCTGTCATTCATTACTGTTCTTACATTTTTGTGGGTAATTCTTTGTAGCTTCAACTTGCTGAAATCCTCTAGAGCTCACAAAATAGCTTTTAAAAATTCACATATGGAAAGGCTGTGTGCGAACAAAAAATTACACTAAAGTTTCTAGTTAGGAGTAAGTTGCTTATATTTGTGAACAGATTTAACAAAAAATGGTGTATGGCAAGCCAATAAGTTAATTTAAAAGACCATGAAAAATCTTTGAAATTATATCAGCGTTAGATAACTCTTAACAGGAAAGTTGATTCAAATAAACAAACTGGAATAATTAACATTTCTAATTTTAATTTAAAATTTCTAATTTTAATTTAACAATGTGCGAAAATTGACACAGAAATGGGCCTAATCTCTACACTATTTAGACTTAAAACAATCACCATATGTTATTTGGTGAATGTTCAAAATGTTTATTTTTTCCATGGTTAGGAATAATATCATCCAGTTAGATTTTAACTAGTAAAACCCTTTTATTTGCTTTAAAGCTTGAGTTTGACTGCAGAAAATTATATTGTCATTACTCTTTCATCATTTTGCTGATGGAGGGAAAGCATTTGTGATAAATTCCATCCATCCATTTTCTTCCACTTATCCGGGGTCGGGTCGCGGGGGTAGCAGCCTAAGTTGGGAGGCCCAGACTTCCCTCTCCCCAGCCACTTGGGCCAGCTCTTCCGGAGGAATCCCGAGACGTTCCCAGGCCAGCCGAGAAATATAGTCCCTCCAGCGTGTCCTGGGTCTTCCTCTGGGCCTCCTTCCGGTGGGATGTGTCCGGAACACCTCACCAGGGAGGCGTCCAGAAGGCATCCTAAACAGATGCCCAAGCCACCTCAACTGGCTCCTCTCGACGTGGAGAAGCAGCGGCTCTACTCTGAGTCCCTCCCGGATGATCGAGCTTCTCACCCTATCTCTAAGGGAGAGCCCAGACACCCTGCGGAAAAAACTCATTTCGGCCGCTTGTATCCGAGATCTCATTCTTTCAGTCACAACCCAAAGCTTGTGACCATAGATGAGGGTAGCAACGTAGATCGATCGGTAAATTGAGAGCTTTGCCTTTTGACTCAGCTCTCTCTTCACCACGACAGACCTGTACAGCGCATGCTTCACTGCAGACGCTGCACCTATCCGCCTATCGATCTCACACTCCATTTTTCCCTCATTCGTGAACAAGACCCCAAGATACTTGAACTCCTCCATTTGGGGTAGGACCTCCTCCCTGACCCGGAGAGGGCACTCTACCGTTTTCCGGTTCAAGACCATGGCCTTGGATTTGGAGGAACTGATCTTCATCCCGGCCTCATTGCATTCGGCTGCAAACCGCTCCAGCGAAAGCTGTAGATCACGATCTGATGAAGCCAATAAGACCACATCATCTGCAAAAAGCAGAGACGCAATCCTAAGGCCACCAAAACGGATCCCCTCAACACCTTTGCTGCGCCTAGAAATTCTGTCCATAAAAGTTATTAACCGAATCGGTGACAAAGGGCAACCTTGGCGGAGTCCAACTCTCACCGGGAACAAGCCCGACTTACTGCCGGCGATGCAGACCAGGCTCTGACACCGGTCATACAGGGACCTAACAGCCCGTATCAAAGGGCCCGGTACCCCAGAGTACCCCCCACAGGGTTCCCCGAGGACACGATCAAACGCCTTCTCCACAAAGCACATGTAGACCGGTTGGGCAAACTCCCACACACCCTCCAGGACCCTGCTGAGAGTGTAGAGCTGGTCCAGTGTTCCACGGCCAGGACGAAAACCGCACTGCTCCTCCTGAATCCGAGGTTCGACTATCCGACGGACCCTCCTCTCCAGAACCCCCGAGTAGACCATACCAGGAAGGCTTAAGAGCGTGATCTCCCTGTAGTTGGAACACACTCCACGGTCCCCCTTTTTGAATGGAGGACCACCACCCCGGTCTGCCAATCCAGGGGAACTTCCCCCGATGTCCACGCAATATTGCAGTCGCGTAAGCCAACGCAACCCTACAACATCCAGAGCATTAAGGAACTCCGGGCTAATCTCATCCACCCCTGGGGCCCTGCCACCGATGAGCTTTTTAACCACCTCGGTGACCTCAGCACCAGAGATTGGAGGGCAGACCCAAAGTCCTCAGGCTCCTCTTCCTCAGTGGAAGATGTGCCGGTGGGATTGAGGAGGTCTTCAAAGTATTCCGCCCACCGACCCACAACATCCCGAGTTGAGGTCAGCAGCAGACCACTCCCACTATAAACAGTGTCGGTGGCGTACCGCTTCTTCCACCCCCCCACCCCCCCGAGACGCCGGATGGTGGACCAGAATCGCCTTGAAGCTGTGCGAAAGTCATTTTCCATGGCCTCTCCGAACTCGTCCCATGCTTGAGGTTTTGCCTCAGCGACCACCCAAGCCGCATGTCGCTTGAACTGCCGGTACCCATCAGCTGCTTCCGGGGTCCCACAGGCCAAAAACGCCCGATAGGACTCCTTCTTCAGCCTGACAGCATCCCTCACCACCATCGGGTTCAAGGGTTGCCGCCGCGACAGGCACAGACAACCTTGCGGCCGCAGCTCCGGTGAGCCGCTTTGACAATAGAGGCACGAAACATGGTCCACTCAGACTCAATGTCCCCCACCTCCCTCGGAACATGTTCGAAGTTCTCCCGGAGGTGGGAGTTAAAACTCCGTCTCACAGGAGACTCTGCCAGACGTTCCCAGCAAACCCTCACAATACGTTTGGGTCTGCCAGGTCTGACCGGCATCCTCCTGATGACAAATTATGAAAAATATTTTTGTCATTTGTGTTTAAAAAAAACTGTTGTACAAGGTCAAGAAAATCAAGCAAAAGTAAGTTAATAATTAGGTCACAGCTCTCTAAAGGAAGTAAACAACTAGATGACAAATGGAGTTCTGACAAATGGAGTTCTGGGTATTTTTCCCTACATGTGATATAAATAAAGTTAATTCATCCTAACCAAATAAAATGGATTATTTCAGTGAAAGAGTCTGCCACGTTCAGGGGTTGTATCCAAGAATGCAGCAGAGAAGTAAAACTATGTAAAGTTGCTCCTGATTTTGTGTTCAATATGATTTTAAAAATGTATTTTAGCCTCACCTCAATGTAATTGTGTTCAGAGAGAAGAATTTGTCCCAGTGCAACATGACTAAGTGAAACAAATGATCATAATCCCAGTCAGTAGTTTGTGTGTTAAATCATTAGTTTAGTGCTTTAGGTCTTGGATTTACTTATAATAAACAAGTACACAGAAGGAGATTAAGCTCTTTTTGACATAAGTTTATCACAGGTTAACTTGAAGACAAATGGCTGCAGAGCAGTAAAGTAAAACCAAAAAAAAAAAAAAAAGGATTAACATATATCATCACCAAACCAGTAGTTATTTCTTTTTGTCCTTTGTTACAGCAGCACACTTCAGAGAAAGACGACCAGAGCTGGAGAAGATGGCAGGAGTTGGGGGCAAGCGCGAGGGACCACACTTCATCAGTGAAGTTGCGGTGAGGGGCAACGCCGCCGTGCTGGACTACTGCCGCACCTCCGTGTCCGCTCTGTCCGGAGCGACAGCTGGTATCCTAGGGCTGACGGGACTCTACGGTTTCATTTTTTATTTCCTCTCTTCCTTTCTGCTCTCGTTGCTGCTCATCCTGAAGGCTGGACGGCGGTGGAACAAATGCTTTAAATCCCGCCGGCTGCTTTTCACCGGAGGCCTTGTTGGAGGTCTTTTCACTTATGTCCTGTTCTGGACTTTTTTGTATGGAATGGTGCATGTATACTGAGATGATTTATCACAAAATACCGTGAAACGTTTCCATATGATGATCTTTAAGCATTAGGTTTGTCTAGTCTGCTGTATGTAGATAGACTTTATTGTGAAAACCTTTAGATATTTCTGTACCGAGCTGCTGAATTTTAGAAGATTACTTGTCTTTCTTTACTTCTTGGTCTAAATCAACCATTTATTCTGAACTCCTATTCTGTAATTCCAGCGCTGTTCTATTATCTACAAATATTAATAATTTAATATCCTAACAAGATGTGGCATCAATTTCATGTATAATATGTTTAATTATAGCAGCTGTGAATAAACACCTTTACAAGTCGTTTGTATTGATCATTTATCTGTTCAAGTGTCAATCATCTTAACATGGCAAAGAGTTGCTGACAATTAAGTACATTTAATAAATAAAAGACAACAATTGCAAACAAGACGGCGAGTCCCTGCACCTCGAACACCCAGAAAACCACATCGAACATAATCACAGTGAACAAGTAGCACACACTGAGCTGTAAATGTTTTGATGCTCCTGCAGGTCTGACCACAAATCTATACAATATTTTGTGCACAATAAATGTGTCCTGATGTATAAAATATGTCCTTACTGGGCTGATTCACAAGAGGTTTTCAGACTGTCATATTCTAAACGGAACGTTTTCGCTTGAGATTCATCGTGAACGTTTGTTGCTTTTCTTTTTAAATCTCTGAAAGGGGTTTTTATATTAAATTGGCTCTAACTTGAGGGGAAAAAAGCATGTTTAAAGTACAAATAATTGTGCTTATTTAGCGTCTAATCTTCACACGGAGCAGATGAAAAGTTGATGTTTTTGTATGAATAATATTAAACTGCACTTCTTCTGAGCAGCTGGAGGAGGAGTGGTGGAACTCATGTGTCCACCTTCATCAGTTCCCTGGGTCATTTGTGATGTCAGAACTGTTTCCCTCAGACAAGCTGTTCAGTCAGCAGGTACATCGGTCTGATGTTGGGATTCACCTCCTGCAGCATAGAAGACACCTGTGGCTCATTTACTTCCACCTCGCTGTAAACCTAGTTGTGTGGGGAGAAAGAGATGTGTTTTGGCATCGGGCCCTGTTTGGCCACAACAGAAGAGTATCTCTGGCCTGTGTTGCGTGGAATAGTTAGACCCCGTGTGCCTGCAGAGGGCACGTCCTCCTCCACAGTGACTTCAGTTTCCTCTTGTTTTGTGATTGAGTTGGCAGCATCTCTCTCTGCTCCAGATTTCTTGGATCTCCTGTCCCGCTGAGCTTTCTCATCTTTGTGTTTGCTTCGTTCCTTTCTGTGACCCAGAATAAAAAGGGTTGTGCATGTGCAGGAAAAAAAAATTGCTTATAGGTTACATAAAATGTGCATTTTCAGTGAGACATACTTGAAGTTGATTATTTCAAATTTCCTCTCTCGGTAGAAGGAGCTTGTATTCATCATGTACAGTAAAATCATGTCGCAGACAAAAGCTCCCTAAACAACAAACAAAAACAGTTGCCTTCATAATTAAATATCTGCTGAAAAATCAAAAGAAATGTTAAACTACTTACCAAACCGATCAGAGCAACACCCGAGCCAATAGCGATTATTGTGGGAACAATATTGAATTTCCCAGCCTGCAAAACAAACAGGGCATTTACTGGGAATCTATGAGTGGAGTCAAAGAAAAGAAAGAGCTCATGCCTCTGCTGTACCTGGCCGTTGATCATTATATCAAAACGGATCCCGTACACTTTGTACAGTGTGCGAAAGGTTTCTCCGTTTTGGTCCTTGTAGTACCTGGCATACCTGCAGGAGAAAACCAGGTCATTTAATAAACTAGTGGAAGTTGGAAAGACGAAGTGGAGGCAGTGGACTGAAGGGCTTCAAGACCAGACCTGAAGTTGTATCCTGATGTTACTGAATTGTTTAAGTCTGCGTCCAAACGTGTGAAGCTGTACTGTGGATTACACTCAGAGGAGTCCTTGTCCAGGTCACAGTACCACTCGATGAGGACACCAACAGATCCGCCCTGATGAACACAGACCAGAGAAGACAGAAATAAAATACCCATTGTTTAAAACAGCCCCAATCCCCCAATGGGCCATGACGGGTATAGGCAGGGCAGCCGACCCAGAACCAGAAAGTCGCGGTTCGACTCCCGGCCATTCCCATATGTCGTGTGTGAGCAAGACACCCAATCCCTAACTGGTCCCCAAGCGCCCAGCAGTCACCCACCACACCACCTGGGTGCATCCCAGGTGTGATGGGTCAAATGCAGAGAATCAATTTTGTCATTGTATGTTCTCATACAATGACAACATATAGCATTTTATACTTATAAATCCTGCACGTTGTCATGGAGCCTTAAAGTGATAGTTCAGATGTTGAAAATTTGGTTTATTTGAAAATATGATGAACAATCAACATCTTAATTGTTCTAGATAGCTCTTTGAATAACATCAGTTTGGATAAAAGAAGTTCTGATGGGACTAAAGAGCTTACTGCTAATCCAAACATAGCCCAAAGTGGATTGTTGCCATCTTGAACCTGCTATAGTTATTTGTAAGCACAAATAGTAGTAGCTAGCTGGAGCACTTCTAATGCAGCATGGGTCACTTCTTGCAGGAATATAATATTTTTGCAGGAATGATCCTGACAGTGGTGTAAAGAAGACGTCCCAGGCCAGGATGTGAGCTAGTGACCTTTCTCACTGCGAGGCAACAGCTCTACCAACTTCATCACAGTGCCACCCTATAACAAAACTTCTCTGTCTTAATTGTTTTCTTGAAAGTGCATCTTGGGGGATGGGGGGTGGATTTTGCGTCGTGACTTTCCTACTGGGCACAGTGGCGCAATAGATCTTGTGCCTCGGCCATTCTGGGCGGAGTTTGCATGTTCTCTCCGCCCTTAACAAAAAGTAGTACATTTGAAGTTCATTTTGCAAGTATACTTTAAGTTAAGTATAAGTATATCAAGTATACTACAGACCATACTTGTAGTGTAATAGAAAGTATACTGATTTAATACTTGTTTGGACTAAATTGGGACATTTTTATACTATTTTTAAGTATATCAAATAAAGTTTATAAAAAGTAAACTTCAAGTACACTTCCTCATTTTTAGTGTAAAATAAGTATACTTGTAGCACACGTAAATAAACTACTTTTTGCTAAGGGCGTGCATGTGTGGGTTTTCTCCAGGTACTCCAGTTTCCTCCCACAGACCAAAAACATGCATGTTAGACTGATTGGTAACTCTAAATTGTCTCTAGGTGTGAGTGAGAGAGTGAATGGTTGTCTCATTTGTCTCTATGTATCCCTGTGATGTCCAGGGTGTCCCCCGCCTCTTGCGCGTTGACTGCTGGATATGGGCACCAGTGACCCCTGCAACCTCAAAAGGAAGAAGCAAGTAAAGATGATGGATGGATGGATGGATGGAGGGATGGATGGACTTTACTACTGTATGCACTGCAGATTTCTCATGATGTGTGTCTGATGTCATCCTGCCAGGTCAAACTGCTCTCTGTACTTCTGCAGCTCTCCACCAGACAAACGCTGGTGTCTTTGTGTGAAAAATGTCTCTGATAAACATAACTGTATAAAAGCTGCCACTCATTATATATTTTTTTTCTTCTTTTTGGTGAAGAATGATGTCAATTATATGGATTTTTCAATTCAAGATTAGTCAAATTAGTTGTCTTCAGATTTCCATAATTGTCACAGATTATAATGACTGGTAAGATAACAGGAAAAAGTCACCCACCTTTCCAGCCATGTCTTGAAAGTCGTGTCCGGTGCTGCTGACCAAATCTCCGAGGCTGAAGATGGGACAGTAAGGATGGTTCTCTTTATCGTAGGTGCACCTCTTCAAGTAGCTTTCATCAGAAGTTTCCAGGACGTTGGACCTTAGAGGTAAAGACAGCAGATCTTTTGATCAGTATGTCACTTTAAACGCTTCACATGGCCTTTAGTGTACACTGGGATGGTTCACAACCAGGATGAACGTTAGCTTCTCGTCTAAAGTCATGGTTCTCAACTGGAAAAAGGATCCTTCCTCGTGTTGTGGGTCAGTTGTTGGCTCCATCAAAAGAGTTAAATATATTGATGTCCATTTCCATAAAGGATGGAAGGATGGAGCAGGAAGAGCTGGAACTTCTGCAGTAATGAGGGTGTCACTATGGCTCTAGTGTTTGTGGTAAAGGAAATGTTGAGCCAAAAGGTCAACCCTTTCATCGTGTAGTGAACTAGGCCTCCGACAACAATCTGTCTCTGTAACTTTCCTGAATAGCCAACGCATCAGAGATGGTGTGGTGACAAACTCACGGGTATCCACGTGGCTCATGGCGCTTCAAAGTTTTGACCTAGACATCCGCTACGGACAAAACAAGAAGTCACATTTGGGCACCGACCTGGCACTCTGCCAGAAATGTACACAAGATGTACCAGCAACCCAACCGCCAGCTGCGGAAAAACCCTCAGTAAATGAGGACCCGAATCACCACTACTTTGATAGCAATATCTGCAAAGATATGACAACACTGTACGTGGATGGATGCTCATTCCACCACAAAAAAACCTACAACTCAGGTGTTGGAGGGATCCTCCTCCAAGACCAAGAAGAGGTCACTTTTGGCTATAAATTAGGCTCTCAGACTTCTCAGTACGCTGAGATAGCAGGAATCCTAATAGCTCTCCAGATGGCAGTAGACCGCTCCATCCAAACGCTAGTCATCTGCACGGACTCTAATTACGCTCGACTTAGTTTCTTGTGTCATCTCGCTCTGTGGAAACAGAACGGCTTTCTCACAAGCAACAAGAAAGTGGTCAAACACAAAGAGCTTTTCATGGCATGTGATCACTTGGTGACATCACATGACCTACAGGTCTACTGGAAAAAGGTTCCGGGACATTCAAGAGTCCTAGGCGATGACAAGCGGTATAATGACCTTGCAGACTTCCTAGCCAAGGACGGAGCCGTGGACGGCCCTCCGTGGTCCTTTGACCCCTCCTGGCTGCTCGCAACTCTGTCAGTACAACCTACAGCCGAGGTAATGGCAGTCACACGTGCACAGGCTGTGGCCAAGCCGGCTGACAATCCAGTCTCTGTACAACCTGTGCTGACTGACCCAGACATCATCCAACTTCAGAAGTTGGATCCTGCGATAAACTCGATGATACTGTACTTGACTGACCCAGACAAAAACACTCCGTCTGAAGTCGACCTGGATTCCAATTCAGACCTTAAAGTCCTCTTTCAGCTGCGCAAACAACTAAAACTACTCAAGGGCATCCTAACTTTTGCTCATGGACCGACGTCCTCACCCGTGTTCGTGGTCCCCCATGACCACAGGGGGGTGATGTTAGTTCATGCGCATGACCTCCCATCCACAGGACACAAGGGAGATAATGCCACGCTGAAAGCATTAAAACAAGTTGCTTATTGGCCTGGAATGAAAAAGGATGTCAAGAACTACATAAAAGGGTGCCTGGTCTGTGGTCAGTTTCAGCCATCCAGACCACTCCACAGAGCACCACTGCAAAGTAGAGGCATTGCATTCCCATGGTCCGACCTCCAGATCGACTGGGTTGGACCACTTACTAAGAGCACTAAAGGAAATAAATATTTTCTGACGGTAACTTGCGCATTTACCAAATGGGTAGAATGTCTACCAAATGGGTAGAATGTCTACCAGCTCCTAACGACACAGCACAAACAACTGCTATGTTACTAATGAATCGTGTATTTTCAAGGTTTGGACTTCCCCTCAGGGTGAACTCAGACCAAGGTACACACTTCACAGCTGAAGTGATGAAAGAACTGTGGAAGATGCTAGGCATAAAAGTCAACTTCCATGTTGGCTACCACCCACAGGCCTGAGGCCAAGTGGAGAGAGTAAACAGAACTGTGGTAAGTATTTTGAAGAAATACGGGGCTAGCTAATCCTTAAGTTGAGTCTTGCCATAGACTCCAAAACATTTAGGGGGAAAACCAAAAAACCAAACCTCAAGTCGTTCGTCTAAAGGGACAACAAACAATTGAACCAAACTATATTTTGCCATGTAAATCTAACTTAAACCAAGTTAGGAATGGAAGAATAGTTTGGAATGCCCTTCTATAGGTACGAATCCCTATATATAATTTTTCAGCATGACCCACCCTTTAATTGGTACCTGTAGCTGATCTAAACCATGATAGCTTACACACCAGGTGCATATAGGTTAAGGTCTTATGTAAAATCCCACTCATAAGCCTAACTAAAACCACATAAATGCATGAACACATAGAACCAGAATGGCATCTCCTGAGAACCACCAGCAATGACCTTCGCTGAAGGGACCTACAACTCCAACGTGGGTCTCCAAACTCCATCCAGTGGTCGCCTCTGCAGTTCAATCGAGGGAACCCCTCTGCATGCTGATCAATCAACACCTCCAATCGTTGTGGATTTACCGTTGTGGATTTACCGTTGTGGATTATATGACTTTTTCCAATGGATTACAGACTTTGTTTCCAAGGGGTTAAAGCGTTGCTGCAATGGAATTACCAACGACATTATGGAAGTACCTGAACCGTTGTGGGATTACCTTCTTTGACTTTTGTTTTCCTCTTGCTGGATTACATAAAGATCAAGGACATTCGGAGGTGTAAGTTCATGTTGGAATTCATCCCCATGGACAGGCGATGATTTCCAAAGGGGGGACTGTAGTGAACTAGGCCTCCGACAACAATCTGTCTCTGAAGACCTTCAGGGGACAGGAACTGTTATTTCATTGATTTGAATCCAGAAATACAAATTATCTCATCAAGAGACTATATAATTGTATCCTGAATTAATCAATTGAAAGAACACTCTTCTTTTCACATTATCATTACTATTTTAAGATATCTTGATAATCCAAAGTGTGTTTAGTTCATACCATTTCTAAATGTTGAAGTGAATCACTCATTTAAATCCACTGTGAAATAGTATTAATGACTTTTAAACCTCATTAGACCTTGATCATACAGTTAAATGCCTATTTACGAAATAAGTGTGCATTTAGTCTTCTGTCTGAATGAGGAGTAGTAGTGGATGTTGGTCGAAAGTCAGAGACGAGTTATTAGAACAAAGTGTCTTGTTTTTAAAACTCGCAGACAGTAAATAACTTCAACTGGCACCTGCTCTGTCTCACCTCGTCATAATATTTTCCTGTATGTACTAACCGTTTTGTTAAACATTCCTACTGTCTCATGACTTCTAGTGACCATCTAACATCACTAGAACCACACCCCTGCTGGTTGTTTCAACCAATCAGGAAGTACCATGTAACAGGAAGTGGATACCCCTTTCAAAGGAACACTTCTTGGAACTATTCAGTCAGTCCTGAAACTCTGTCGGAGTCTTAAGTCTTAGTCTTCACGAGTCTTAGTCTTTTCCAGTCTTGCTGGAACTTTCAGTCAGAGATGAGACTCAACTAAATAGCGGATGGATGGGACCATGTGCCAAGGGTCCCTCCATTTCAACGGAGTCACAGCTCGCATTGCTGTGCACTCAACCCGAGCAGTACATGCTCTCAACTTTAACTGAAGCTTATTCTGTTGATCGGAGCATATGGAACTACTTCTAAAGATTCCCAGCTACTCTAACCGGAGACGCTGAAAAGGGAGCATACTAATGGACTTCTGTTCCGGAGTGGAGGTATCCACCATCTCAGGTAACAAGCCGTTGACGTCCTGAAGTGTACCGGAGAGCTAAGCTGGATGTCGGAAGAAAGGTGCAATGTTCTGGTTCCACACATAACTTTCATCCTTAAATCTAAACTTACTCCTTAAATCTATTTCTCCTCTTTAACTTTTCTATTCGCCAGTAAAACAAACTAGATGCCTTCAGAGGTGAATCAGCCTCAATCAGTAATGTTCTGTTGTCTTGTTAGTAAAGCTTGCCAAGTTTATTAAGCAGAAACAGATCAGCAAATCAATGTGTACATGTTTTGATGTTAAATTTTGATTCTGTTAAGTAAATGACCGCATTTATTCTGATGGGTCAAAGATAAAATGGCATCTCATGTCACTGATTAAACAATCCACTCACAGTTATCTTGGTCACATGGCAGAAATTTAACTCGAAAAAGAAAATAATCCATTGTAATTATCCATCCATCCATCCATTTTCTTTACCCGTTTATTCCATTTTGGGTCACGGGGGTCGCTGGTGCCCATGTCCAGCAATCACTGTGCGAGGGGCGGGGTACACCCTGGACGGGTCGCAAGTCCATCACAGGGCCACATAGAGACAAACGAGACAAACAACCATTCACTCTCTCACTCACACCTAGGGACAATTTAGAGTTACCAATCAGCCTAACATGCATGTTTTTGGACTGTGGGAGGAAACCGGAGTACCCGGAGAAAACCCACGCATGCACGGAGATAACATGCAAACTCCACCCAGAAAGGCCCCTGGACCGGGGTTTGAACCAGGGACCTGCTCGCTGAGAGGCAGCAGCTCTACCAGTTGTGCCACCGTCCATTGTAATTAAACAATTAATATTCTTTGTGCTTGAACTAGCTTTAAGAATAATTAATTAGTAGTGAAGTTAACGCCTTAGCTCACTACAATCGGTTCCAACCCTCGCCTGTGATTATGAGACATGGATCATAACCAAAAGAATCCAAGCAGCTGAAATGAGCTTCCTCAGCTGGGTGGGGTCAGCCTTAGAAATGAGGGGAGCTTCTTCTACTCATTGAAAGGAGTCAGCTGAGGTGGTTCAGGTGTCTAATTAGGATGGTTGTATGTTCTGGGCATATTTTTCTAGGACACCCTGAGGGATTATGTATCTTCTCTAGCCTTTCAACACCTTGGTTCTCCTCCTGGACATCTCATTTCCATGTAAAGCTACCCATTTTTTTCCTGCCTACCTGTGATCAGGTTGTCGAGGCAGCAGGTAATGGATGGCTTCTGGGAAACTTTGAGGAGCGACAGAGCAAACAACCACAGTTTGACTCATTCTAAACAGCGATGCACAGCAGAGGGTGAAACACGCCTGCAAATATGGGATTGGTTTTATCGGTTCTGTTTCTGGTTTATGTGTCAGCCCAGCACAGGTGCTTGACCTCCTCAGAGGTGGGACAGAGATGCAACTCCACATAAAAGCTTTTTGTTGATCAGAATGATATAATTTCTTTTACTTTACAAAATTAAGAGCCTGTATTGTCGTTTTTTTCTTTTCTTTTTCTACTCACTCGCTCTTGTACGAGGCGGACTCTTTCTCTTCCCTCTCCTGTTCTCCTCCTGCTTTTTTGCTCTCTGTCTGTGTATCGGAGCTCCTATTTTACACATCTTCCAAAATGAAAGCTCTTACGGATCTGATCAATTGGACTTTCAACACAATCGACAAAATCTTTTCAACAAAGCGACAGGATCCTGGAGAGCCCTCATGTTCCGCTGAGAATCTCAGGAGGATGCCGAAGATGTACAGTATACAATCGGATTTATGATAACAGGTTTCTTGCTTTTTGGAATTGGCTGGTTCCTGGTCTATCAACATACAAGAAGACAGCTGCAGCTAATTTGGCCCTTGTCAGGCTGCCTGCTTGTGAAGGTTTGGTTCGTGCTCTGAGGACTCAAAATCATTTACGAGCTAAACTGTAAGATGGAAGTGATTTGTGAGAGTCACAGGCCACCTGCGACTTTGGGACTCGCCGGCATGTTGGAAACGACTTTGGAGGGGCTCGTAAGCACGGACCAGTAGAATGCACCCTAATTTGGCCATTTTGGATCATGAAACTACCAGTAAGACTCAAGACTAACAAGAAAAGGAAGACAGGAAAAAGACAATAAAAAACAGTCTGCCTGAAAAAAAATCCAATTGTGGCTTCTCTGAATCTGACTCCTCAGTTGGCCTCGAAAACAGGCTGACATATCAATTTCTACTGGGCAATGTGTAAACAAAGGAAAAGCTTAATCTGTCGCACCCCCCCCCCCCCAACTTCGGTGGAGGCTTATTTGAACTGTGCCGACTGACCATCATCTTAGCAGGACAATGGACTATCTGTTAGTGCTTCATGGATCGCCTGCAGAGTTTTTTGATGTCTTAAATCGTGTCCTGATAGGACAAGGTGTGAAGAGATCTTTTTCATAATACAACTATCCTCTCCTCATGGCTTTGTCCCCTTTTCTATCTAAAAACGTATTCTGAAACGGATAAGAGGTCGAGTTATCACAGCAGCAGCTACGTGCGCTCCGCCCATCTTTCAGATGACTGTGCGAACTTAATCTCACTGTATCTCAGTATAATGATAATAAAGCTTATTTTGATTCCTTGTATACTGCTTCTTTTATATTTTTGCTATTTTTGGGTGTAACTGGGACCTTGAGTACACAATTTCGTTCCATCTGATGTACCACGTGATGCGAATGACAATAAAGTCTCCTTGAAGCTTGTAATATAGATTTTCTTTGTCTCACTGAAATTCCTTAAATTACATAACTTGCAGCAGAGAAAGAACCCCGCCCCCTTTAAAAAAAAAACTTTTCAGATTCTTACCCTTGAACTTGGTTTTGAGGCAGTAAACAATGTTCTCCTGAAGACTGAGTGAACAATATTACTTAAAGCAGTCTGACACCTACACTTCATCTGCAAACATTAAACAGTGCAGAATGTTCAGTGTTTCTTTTTAAAGTCATATCTTGTACTTTGTGTTTGAAAAATTATTTTTCTTGAGAGGGCTGACTCCAGAAACCATCAAACTGGTCGATCCACTATGAGAAGGTGCTATTTATAAGACTGAGTTTGTTGCAGCTCCTCAGACTGAAGAAGTCCTTTGGATGAAAAACGAAACGTCACAACAAAAAAAAGAAACTGTCCAGAGGACCTGACACAACGTGTTGGATTTTTTTCCTGGATTACTGAGCATAAACTTTGACTCTATGACCTTCTGATGACTGACTGCATGTGTCTCAGTGCTAGACTGTAGCATTGGCTGCCATTTTAAATGCCCCCACCATTAAAAAAAAATGGTCTTATCTGTTATGTATCAAGCATGAGCACATCACGTTAATGAAGACAAATTAGGTATGTGTGTAATTAGATGAGGATCCTGATGGATGAATTAGCCGTGGCTCGTGGCATCTCTCTGCTCTCATGCAGGAAGTGGACAGAGAACAGCAGTTGGGGGCAATGGTCCAGATCCCTGGGCGACCCCCATCTGATCTGACACCTGTCCAGTGTAATGTACTGCTGTCAAGGACGTCTCAGATGACTGCTTCACTGTCTCGCTGCAGAGCAATGCACATGCTGGTATAAATAGATGGCGTTCTGCACCCTGAAGTTATTTAAAGCAGCCAGTGAGCATGTCCCCCACCTCACTCAACGTCACAATGCCTTGGAACCAGAGGAATACCAGTGATCTGCAGACAGCAATACTCACTTGGAGAATTCAAACTTTGGGAACCTGATGAAATTCTTGATGTAGATGGTGAAGTTTTCTGCTTCACTCAGTAAGGGCTTTCTGGAAGAGACAATGAAAACAGAGTCAAGCACGAGAAGAAAGGCTTAATAAAAAGGCTGTAGTAAGCACAAATACACCCCAACGTGGCAAATTTCCAAAGTTCTTTAAAGATTCTCACGTGGGTCTTCTGCTGTGTTCAACAGGACACCAAGCGTGGATCTCACAGGTGCCTGTGCTGTTCAAACACACGCCGGTCTTTATTCCTAATGGAGAAAACAAGACTCAGTGCTTGTATAATGCACAATACATACAGTGTCTGCAAAACATATGCACCCCCCGGGATGTTTTAGGCTTTTATTGCTGTCATTTCAGTCACGGTCAACATAAATTAGCCTTCTTTACAAATTAAAAAAAAAAATCTAAAAGTCTTCTTCATTGTTGAAGTGAAATTGAATTTCTACAAAATAATACCAATTAAGGAAAAATATGTAACATAAAGAAAGTGACTGGATAAACATTCACCCCCTGAGTGATTATCTTTATTCAACTCAACGAGAAGCTTAATGAAAAGTAAAAGTCAGGGGGTGCAAAAGGATTTCCAGGGATCTAAACATAGTTGTGTTAAATCCATCATCAAGAAATAAAAGGACGATGGGACATGTGTAAATCTACCAAGAGCAGGCTGTCTTTGCAAACTGAGTGGCTGTGCAAGGAGAACAGTGCACGACCATCAAGATGCCTGTCACTCTGAAGGAGTTACAAGCTTCAACAGGCGAGATGGGAGAAACTGAGCATATGTAGTGGACTAGGCCTACGTCGAAACTAAGTCTAAGGTCAAAACTCTTGACCTTTAGAACCTTGTGGGACAGGAACTGTCATTTCATGTATTTGATTACATAAATACAGGTTCACCCATCCTGAGACTTTCTTTCTTGAAGATTCAAGTGAAAAGAACACTCTCTTTTTATTATCATTACTATCTTACAAATGTTGATAATCAAAGTGTCTTAGTTCAAACCATTTTAGATGTTGCAGTGAACTAATCAATTTTATTAACTGAGTAATGGTTTTTATTCTCATGCAAAAGTTAGAACTCATGTTAAAAGCTGTTGCAGAGTAATTATGCATTTTTCTGATTTCTGCTTTTGAATGAGCAAGTGTGTGCGTTTACAAGGTTACAGTCAAACGAAAAACAAGTTGTTATGTTAAAACTGTCATGTTTTAGAATCCTCTCAGACGTAAATAGAGATGTTTTGCACCTGTTTCTTAAACACGCCACAACAAAACCCTCTCGGTCTGTGAGAACATTTCTGAGCTGTCCCATAACAATTCTCGCTGTCTCTAACCTCTTACGTCACAAAACCCACCCCGTCTGGTCGTTTCTGACCAATGAAAAATCCCAAAAAGTGAACCGGGAAAGAGTCTTTAAAATGTCAGTACTTCCTGGTCTACACAGAGTTACAGACTCAGAGAGTTGGAGAGTTGTCGGAGTTCTAAGAGTTCTGAGAGCGTAGAGTTCGGTGAGAGTCTACTCAAGTTCTGCTGAGTTCTGATGGAGTGCTGTTGGAGTTCCTGACATGACAACAAAGCTCTCCCGAGTTCCATGGGATTATAACATTTTCCACTGAGGTGAATATGTGTCGAACAGAGCCTCGCCATTACTTCGGACGAGTAACAGCATCCTACTGAGACGCTGAAAGGGTGCGTTAAACGGAATCTCACCTGAGACATCTCCAGGTAAAGGAGCCGATTTCATCACCTAAGTGTACTGTAAGGAAAAGCTGAAGAAAGCCGGAGAGTGTCGATTCTGGTGAACACTTAATTTCCCTCACATACCATCTTAACTCCCTCTAAACTTCTTTTCATCTTTAACTTTCTATCAAGTAGAAATTCTCCCAGATATTTAGAAATGTCTGTGTAAAGTGCTTACCCACATTCATGTGGGCAAAAGATCATAGTTGTACAGTTTTCATAAATGTCTTTGGTGCAGCAACGGAAAAATCATGGCCGTATGATTTTTCCTGATTGATTGCTTATATTGTTATTTTCATAATTTGCCAAATTAATGTAAATGTTTGATGTTAAATTTGATTCTGTAAATAAATGACCGCATTCATTTTGATGGGTCAAATCTAAATGACGTCTCACGTTTGCATTTCATTAAATTCAATGCACGTTTTATTCAGTCCAGAAAAATGAGGAACCCGCGTTAAATGATGAATATATCCCAGCATCTGTTCGTCTACAACTGGTGGCCCGCTACGCGCTCCTAAATGGACTGTAACCGTGTACACATTGATTTTCATGTTGGCAAGGTTGTACAATAACAGTTTATCAGCTGTGCTGAAAAACCGTGCGTCTTTACGCAGCGCAATTGGAGCTGCGCGCTTGTGTTACGCTGGCGATGTTTTAAAAGCTGAATTTGTGTCATTGAGTCTTTATAAAGCTGAATTGTACGTCTGTATGTGTAACATAAGCTGGCTTTGAGCTGTGGAAACGCTTTATTCTGTTTAAACTGTGTTCCAGACGCTGTTCTGGTCCGGTTCGGTTCTGTGGTTCCGACTCGGTTCTGGAAGAGTTCGAACGAGTTGTTAAATAGCTGGAAAGACGTTTTGAGACCGGAGTAGCAGACTCCGGGCAGCTCAGGGGTTGGTTCGTTACATTTTTAGCAGAGAAAGTGCATTTTGATGGTTTAAAAGACGATAAGTGATGAAATAGCTTCAGGCTGAATCTAACATGCTGGTTATTGCTAACGCTTCGTGGTTGGTTGTTTGCTGCTTTGGACAGCTCTGATTTGCTGAGAAAGGTTGACTGACGTCACCTCCCCTCACCCCTACGCTGCGTCATTGGTTGAGAAAGACCGTGTGTAACGTTCTGATTGGATGAGGGAAGTGTCAATCACGTCACCCGGAAATGAAGACTCGTTTTCATAGGGAATAAAATCTGCTTTTTAACGCTGGAAAGCGCATTAAAGCTGTGTTCTGAAACGCTGTTTACATTCTTCGAAGCATATTCGCTGAAAGTTCGCCACGTTTGAGTTTAAAGACCGTCATAAAATGATGCTTTTGAACTACGCTAGCGATGCTAAATTTTAAGCTAACAAGCTAACGACCGGATGGATGACGTGTCACGTCACTTCCCCCAAGTCGGAAATGAGCTTTACCGTGCTTAAATTCACTAAATACGGCTGCAATTTTGTTCCACAAAACTCATGTTTCATGATATAAGGTCTGATTGAAAAAATTTTGCCACGTTTGTGTAAGAAATCCGTTCAGAAGTGTTGGTTTTCACCGAAGCAAGCCGATGCTAATTTTAGCTAACAAGCTAACGACCGGACGCCACAGGAAGTTATAGCACCCCTAGTGGACGACACAAACAGTGTCTGAGTTAAAATTGTTGAGGATCTGCTGACATCTTGTGGAGAAGACGTGGGATCACAGGTTTTCACTTCGTTTTTAGGTAAAGAGTGAAATTGAACGTTTTATTTTTCTGTAAGGCAACTTTTGAGTTAACAAACTTCCTCAAAGCTGAATAAACACTGTTATCTTGCGTTTTAAAAGTTATGAAGGTATTTATGCAAAGAGCTTTTACCAAACAAATTTTTATTCACTGATAAATCCTTGAGTAACAGGTACATAATAAAATTTGGAAACTTTTAAATAAGATACAGTTACAGATATTCACAGAGTTGAATAGTTTACTCATTTTGCTAGAAGATAACGCACGTTTAATTGATAATTCACTAAATAAGAGTAAAACTTATCAGGAAAAAGAGATTTTCTGGTTTATTTTACCACCTAAACATTTACATCTACTATTTAACTTCTAAATAGCAGATAATGGCGGACGAGGAGGTAAACACTGACCCCTTACAATCCGAGGATGCGGTCCAGACAGCCTTACACATTTTAACAAATTCAATTATTGGCAAAAATTTGGAGGAATTGCGAGACCTTGATGACGATCAAAGACATGAGGAGCTGCAGAGTTTATCTAAAGCAGCTACAGTGAAGGAGGACACAAAATCAAGCCGCATACGGTTAGCAAAAATCTCTCTGCTTCTGAAGGCGGAATTAGACCGTTTGGTGGTAGAAAAGGGCGTGCTATTCAACGGATATAAGTCTGAAAAAGAGAGGTGTGACGAATTGATGATTGAATCTGAGTCGCTGAAGCAACACCTTGAGGCTGCTGAAGACCTCTCAAAGAAAGAGCTGTCAGAACAGGCTCAATCATATGAGGAGAAGTGTGCCGAGCTGATAAGTGAATCTGAGTTGCTGAAACAAAAGATTCAAACTGATAAGGACCTCTCAAAGAGAGAGCTGTCAGAACAGGCTCGATCATATGAGGAGAAGATTGCGGATAAGGACCGAGCGTACCAAGACGCGTGTGCGGATAACGATAAGTTACAAGCACAGTTGAAAACCGCTTTAAGGGAGCTGGACGATTGCAAGGCAGAAAAGGGGTTAATAACCCGGAGTTGGCTGACTTTACAAGATAAAAATCAGTCAACAAATGAGCGTCTGGCAGCTTGTGAGGAGAATTTAGCTACAGCTACAAACCTGATTTCTGACATGGAGCTAGCTGGTTTGAGGTTCAGAGACAAACAGGGTCAGCTACAACCACCCCAGACAGGTGCTGTTGCACCTCCTCCCCTTAGCCCCGTTTCAACACCCCCAACCCGGGGGATAAGGACGGGTCTGCACCCACTTGCACCTCTTCCTCCTGACACCAGGCAGTCAACTCCACCCCCATCTCGGGCGGTGGGGTTCGACCTGCACCGGTATGCACCTCTTCCTCCTGACGCCAGGCGGTCACCTCCACCCCCATCTCGGGCGGTGGGGTTCGACCTGCACCGGTATGCACCTCTTCCTCCTGACGCCAGGCAGTCAACTCCACCCCCATCTCGGAGGGTGGGGACAGACCTGCACCAATATGCACCTCCTCCTACCAACCCTTATCAGCCACCCCCACCCCCACCATGGGCAGTAGGGGCAGGCCTTGACCAGTCTGCACCACCAGTCACACAAGTTAGACCGGTGATACAGTCTCCTTCAATGGATGACTTGCAGAAAATCTCAAAGTATGTACAACGCTTTGTTCCCGGGCCTATGGGGTCAGCAGGAACGAAAGCGTATCTCAAAGATCTGGAGTTCAGATTGAGATCTTATCCTAATGCTACGGTAGACGATAAGATAAGTCTGATGCGGCTCACTTCAGACAGAGAGGTGTTCACCTTCATCGAGCGTCTACCTGATGCAACGAG